AGAAGTGGTTTATACACAGAGATATAGTAGAAGAAGAAGTGGTTTATACACTGAGATATAGTAGAAGAAGAAGTGGTTTATACACGGAGATATAGTAGAAGAAGAAGTGGTTTATACACTGAGATATAGTAGAAGAAGAAGTGGTTTATACACTGAGATATAGTAGAAGAAGAAGCATCTTTTTGTGCGGTGTACGCTTGTAGCAACCGCACAAATAGAGAGAAAGACAGAGTTTGTTCATGTTCCAACTGTGGTCTCATATAAAGGAGGACACTTTGAAAAAATAACTGGAATGAGGCGGAGGTGGATCAAGGCTTTCCCAGATAAGCGCCCCCTGCAGGCCACCCCAATGAAACACTGCAATTTATTCTGTTTTTCTTTCCAAAAATTCCAAAAATCAAGACTCTTTTGAGAAATATTTGTTAGTTCTCCCTTAGAATTGAGTGTCCCTGATTAAGACTGTTCCAACAACCGTACACTGCACAGGAGGAGAGCCTTTGACTCCAAGACAGACTTTACATGGTTTTACATGGGAGCAACACTGTCCCATCTCTGCTCATGCGCCCCCTACAGGCCAGTTTAATGAAACCCAAGAATAGGAGCCAGAGCGATTAAGAGCAAAACTTTGTCCAGAACTTCCCTATTATCTAAGGGTTCAAAATTACCATAATTACTACATTGCAAAGTCCATATAGTAATTACCATGAAAGGCCTATTGTTTGTATTATAAAAGGAAAGTTTAATGATGACAAAGTGTATACCCATTTTGAAGAACCCAAGCAAAAAGCAGGCCCACCACCAGGATAACCATTTTAGATAATTGTCAGGCATGAAATCATACAAGTTATTTTTCATGATCTATTCTCAGTAGTGATGGAACTGACCAGCATGAGTTCTGGCATCGAGTGGGACTGTTGTATTCGTCTGAGGCGTCACAGCAATCTGGCTCCGGAACAGCAGAGATCCGTCCAACGCACAAACAAGAATAGAGGGAGAGAACACAAGATATCAGCCACAAGAACAAGACAATATGCTTTTATCCATAATGAGCTTTGTCTAAAAATCACAGCGTGGGAAACTAACGAGGATGTCGGGCTCTATTGAAGAAGATGCTATAATTCCATGAGATTTATAATGAAAACAAACACGAGTCCGTGGCATTCGCCCAAGACAGAGTTAAGTGAGCAAGGAACAGAAGCTAGAACGGATAATCAGTCTTATAAAATACCTGCCAGCTTATATTTTATAGCTCAGTTTTGGATAAACACCTTGATTTATTGAAGATTCACCGGCCTTTAACTGGGACTGTATGTAATATTTTTCTTTTCAAATACATCTCCATCTTTCATGTGTCCCCACAGATAATGGGGCAACATTTAGTAATCATATTTGTCCTTTTGCGAACAAAGGTTAAAAGTGGATCTGTTCTTTAATCCAAAACGCAATGGACACAATGTACGGAATATTGTTTATGGTTATCAGCAGATTATCCAATCAGCAGAATGTAGTGTCTCTCGTTTGTGTTGCCAGTGTCTTTTGTGAAATGTAACTGTTGTTTTTTTAAGAAAAGCACCACATATTTGTTCAAATGAAAGCAGGTAAAAACAAAAGTCACACGTTAAACACAGACTTTGTACCGTTTCAGGCTAAACCCTTGCACGAGGATTGCATCAGTAATCAGTGCTTAGAAGCTACATATATCTGGCAACAACAGTTGGATTGTAATTGATATAATGATTAGCATTAAGCCAGTACGAGTGCGTACAACATACAGTTCCTTTAAATCTACATCCATCCCACAGGCCACCTTTGCACGAGATTAGAGGCTGCAGAGATTACGCCCAGAGCTGGATGAAACGCCACATCTGACACGATCAGTTAAAACACAATCGAGACACTGTCCAGGCCTCACAATCTACTCTGCTGAAGAAAACACTATTCTTCTACAGTATTCAAACTGGTGTGTTGTGCCCGAGCCAAATGTAAATACTTAAACAAGAGAAGATAGACTTCAATGTTTGTTTACTCACAGGCAGTGGATCAAAAATAATATTTCTGGATTATTTGTTGATTCCTTAACATTAGGGAAGAGCATAGACAGTCTCCCTTAGATTGGAATCAAAAAGTCTCTGGCAATGTTTACAGTACGTCCAGGTTGAAAACTTTGTAAATGAATCATTTTTAATCCTTTTTTAACCAATTTTTTAAAAACATACATTTGAATACTATTTGTTTTACATGTATTTACACTGTTCTATTTTCTATTGTCTGCTTTTAATTCACATGTATTTGTTTTGTCTTGTGAAGCACTTTAAGAATGTGCTCTATAAATAAATTAAATTGACAGATAGAAAGGTTCACAAACACTGACCCGTCTAACTGTTGTGCAATACATACAGTTTGTGCTTCTTTTTTGGCCTTAGTTCAGAGGTTATGAATGAATGAATGTGAATTAATGAATTAACTTTTTTCACTCATTGTACCACTTATAGTTTTAATGTTTCAAATTAAAATATCATTGAGCCAATCTGTGGTGAGGTAAAAGTGCAGTTCAGGCAAGGCAGCCCAGGAATTTGCAGGGACTGGAGGATTTTTAGCAAGCTAGACACTTAAAATGCAATGAACAAAGAAACAAAAGCAATGTAAAGTCTGTCATTATGCTCATTTTGTGCCGAGATACATCAGTCTCTACATTTTTGAAACCACTGGGATAAAAAAAAAAAAACCTTTTCGGTAAAACAAAACAATCTTGAGTGTTTCTGAAAGCACTGACTGTTATTTAAACATTTGAGACTTGACAATCTCCTTTGGTAATAAAAACAGGAATAGAAGAAAAATGGAAAAATGGCAGTCTAAGAAAATGTAGGCCACATTTTCAGAATCTGCTTTGCAAGAAGAAGCAAGGGATGCTGGGAGATGGAACAATGGAGACGCTTCTTTTTAGTTCAGCTCGAGTATGTTTTTGTACAGAGAGATGTGATAAGGGGAGACAACACTTCAATCATTGATTTTAAACTAAATTGTGTGCCACAAAAAACACATGTAATCAACAAAGGACCAAAACGTGTGTGGGCTTTGAAGTTGTCTTAGCCTGGTCGTACCACACCATAGTACAGATTACATTTCATACTAAGGTCTGGACGTGCTCCATTTAGCTTTGTTAACAGGTGGGAGGGGTTAACTCCTTTTGTAGATTAAAACGATTGGATCTGAGTTTACTGTGACGTATGTGATAAGCCCGAGTCTGTTGTTAGCATTTAGCATTTAGCCTAGCTTTAGCCATCTCCTTTGCCGCTAACGGAGCCCGTGGGGAGTAGCGCCATAATCTTTGCCAGCGATTACATTTGCTAAACATTCCTCTTGCTCCGGCTTCAGTTTCTTGATAGAACCAGACCAGAATACTTTACTATCGCATTTTTCGCCAAACTACAACCTGCCCGTTCGACGCAAACTCTTGACGTCACCCACAACTAACTACAACACCTGCCTTCCGCGCTCTCTGATTGGTCGGTCGAAATTCCACCGACTGTAATGCGAACACAGGGACCAGACCCAGACGTTACAAGCAGTGAAATGATGATTGAACGGAGAGTACGGGTGGATAAGGCCAGGGTGAAGTTGTCTTGTATTTTCATATATATTGTGAAGAAGTACAAAAAATACAAATGTTTTCTTTGTGGAATACGAATTAAGGCTGTTCAAAACATAGTCACATAAAGTTGGCCTTCTTGTCCTTGAGAGAGAGGAGCAGAGAATCCTATCTACCCACTACTTTGCTTCAAAAAGCTTCTGTAAAGTTCATTAGGGTCCACTTGAGAGAAAATACGATTTAGAAAGCTCACCGCAGATGCCGTCGTTAACTCGTGATGAAGGGATGTAGTGTGGGCGGAAACCCAGGTTAGTGCAGTAGAAGCGGCCTCGAGGACAAGCGGAGGTGCCTGGAGACGAGAGGGGAGGTTAGGCTGGTTAGGCTGGGTGTCTGTTTTAAGGACGCAGCCTGGAGACGAGAGGAGGTTAGGCTGGGTGTCTATTTTAAGGACGCAGCCTGGAGACGAGAGAGGAGGTTAGGCTGGGTGTCTGTTTTAAGGACACAGGCTGGAGACGAGAGGAGGTTAGGCTGGGTGTCTGTTTTAAGGACACAGCCTGGAGACGAGAGGGGAGGTTAGGCTGGTTAGGCTGGGTGTCTGTTTTAAGGACACAGGCTGGAGACGAGAGGAGGTTAGGCTGGGTGTCTGTTTTAAGGACGCAGCCTGGAGACGAGAGGGGAGGTTAGGCTGGTTAGGCTGGGTGTCTGTTTTAAGGACACAGCCTGGAGACGAGAGGGGAGGTTAGGCTGGGTGTCTGTTTTAAGGACACAGCCTGGAGACGAGAGGGGAGGTTAGGCTGGTTAGGCTGGGTGTCTGTTTTAAGGACACAGCCTGGAGACGAGAGGAGGTTAGGCTGGGTGTCTATTTTAAGGACGCAGCCTGGAGACGAGAGGGGAGGTTAGGCTGGGTGTCTGTTTTAAAGACACAGCCTGGGGACGAGAGGGGAGGTTAGGCTGGGTGTCTGTTTTAAGGACACAGCCTGGAGACGAGAGGAGGTTAGGCTGGGTGTCTGTTTTAAGGACGCAGCCTGGAGACGAGAGGGGAGGTTAGGCTGGGTGTCTGTTTTAAGGACACAGCCTGGAGACGAGAGGGGAGGTTAGGCTGGTTAGGCTGGGTGTCTGTTTTAAGGACACAGGCTGGAGACGAGAGGAGGTTAGGCTGGGTGTCTGTTTTAAGGACGCAGCCTGGAGACGAGAGGGGAGGTTAGGCTGGTTAGGCTGGGTGTCTGTTTTAAGGACGCAGCCTGGAGACGAGAGGGGAGGTTAGGCTGGGTGTCTGTTTTAAGGACACAGCCTGGAGACGAGAGGGGAGGTTAGGCTGGTTAGGCTGGGTGTCTGTTTTAAGGACACAGCCTGGAGACGAGAGGGGAGGTTAGGCTGGGTGTCTATTTTAAGGACACAGCCTGGAGACGAGAGGGGAGGTTAGGCTGGTTAGGCTGGGTGTCTGTTTTAAGGACACAGCCTGGAGACGAGAGGGGAGGTTAGGCTGGTTAGGCTGGGTGTCTGTTTTAAGGACACAGCCTGGAGACGAGAGGGGAGGTTAGGCTGGTTAGGCTGGGTGTCTGTTTTAAGGACACAGCCTGGAGACGAGAGGAGGTTAGGCTGGGTGTCTGTTTTAAGGACACAGCCTGGAGACGAGAGGGGGGTAGGCTGGTTAGGCTGGGTGTCTGTTTTAAGGACACAGGCTGGAGACGAGAGGAGGTTAGGCTGGGTGTCTGTTTTAAGGACACAGCCTGGAGACGAGAGGGGAGGTTAGGCTGGGTGTCTGTTTTAAGGACACAGCTGGTTAGGCTGGGTGTCTGTTTTAAGGACACAGTATCAGCGACAAACAACAGAGAGAATATATATATATATATAAATAAATAAGTTAATGAAAAATTTGTCCTCTAAATATGCTCAAGATATTACTGTAGAGATGCAAGAGCACAGATGTACAATGCCACAGTAGCTGCTTTTTGTTCTCAATAAAATTATGTATAAAATTATGTCTTTCTTTACAACACTTGAAAATCAATGGATGTATAAGCATTTTTCAGAAGTTTTCATGAATTGCCATAATATGATCTAAATATTGTATCGCTGAGAAAATCTTTTATTTTGGTCCATGCCACCTCAAATGTAGTACCCACCACTTTTAAGTATTAATGTATTTTTTACCGAGAACAACTTTGATGATAAACTAAAGTAAAGATAATTTACCAATATTAGACATGACTTCTTTCCCTTCCATTTCTTTCAAGAACTGCATGAAAACATAAGTTCTCGTGCAGTGAGGCGCAGACCCAGGTCCCGGAGCCAGTTGTGACAAAAGACATCCACCCATTTCTATGTTTGGATTTAATGTGATCAAAGTGGCTCATGTCTGCGCCTGTTTCATGTACGAGCAGGAAAAGTAATGGAGAAAACCCTATTACTGGTGTGTTCTATTGAAAATACACCGAAATGTGTACAGTGACCACTACCAGACGATCCTGAGGCATGTCCTGCATGAAGTTCATTGTTCTGCATTTGTGGGCAGTTCCAAATAGGCAATGGTGCGCTGCCATTGTGTTGCAACTGTCTTTCCACTGCAAAAAATGATCAAATATGAGATCATAATAACTAGAATCGAGTTTTTTTTAACTTGACTTAAGTTCATTCTGACTGTCTTAAAATGAGATTTGCCAATGAGACAAGCCATTTTGACTTGATTCAAGAACTATTGCTTTATTTTCTCATTCCAAGAGAGAAATATCTTGTATCTTTTTAAAACAAGATCATTTTTCTTGTTCCACTGGCAAATCTTGTTATAAGGCAGTCAAAATGTGCTCATATTTAGATACATTTAGCCAAATTTGAGCATTTTTTTGTCTTTAATTTTGTGATCTTTTGCAGTGTCTGGCAGGTGTTAGCAAAGACAATCCTGCTCACTCCAGGGAGGGTCTCAAATAGTGTGACGGTGAAAAAGGTAGATTTTGCTCTAAGCACAATAGCATATGATTACATTTTTCAGACCAATGTTTACGTTGACATTGTAACAAGACATTTTTTGATGAGAATTCAGTTCAAGATTCAAGAATGAATTTGCCATTTGCAGTAAAACCACATTGGAAAAACTGAGCAAGACTACCCCAGTGTGCAATAGTACACACCAGAGCTCTTGTCACGGCGCCGTGCAGCGAAGTTGTTGAAGTAAGGATTCTATTAATTGTATTACCACATGGTTTTTTTTTAATATACCAGCCTACCAAATTTGATATTGTCCATCCCACTATGTCTTTTCACACTGCCTCAATGTATGTACTTTATGTCTTGTTTAAAACCTAAAAAGTGGCTGGTTCTCACCTGGTTCATCAGATCCATCCTGACAGTCACAGTAGTCATCGTTCACCTGCTCAAATGGGATCATTTTAGACCCGTCGATGCAGAGAAAAGACTTCTTCTCTCGATAAAACCGTTTATCTAGATTTCACAAATAAGAACATTAATTCATTTAAAACAGAGGCACAAACTCAAAGCTTGAATTATAATACAGGTAGATATTTTTTTGTATTTTGTTCATAGTAACTGACTAGGATTTAATAATGGATTCAAATATGCAGAAATCAGAAGCATCCTATTAACATTGATAATTGCCAAAGAAACAAGCAACAGATGTCATTTACGAGACAAAACGGAAGTAGTCGTGTGGTTGGGGATGAGTAAAAGGTAAAACAGGTGCTTCCAGAGACCTCTGACCTCTACCAACTGACAGTAGCTCAGCAGTGGGCTTTTAGTCAGAAGGTCGTGGGTTCGAGCCCACCTCAAGACTTTCATCATCGACTCCCACTGTCTGCTGTCGTTGTGTCCTTGGCAAGACACTTAACCTCTGGAAACAGCAGGTGCCACAGTGGGGCAGCTGTGGCTGTAAAGTGCCAAACTGTGGTTGTGTCCTTAGGCAAGACACTTCACCCCCATTGCCTAGAATGAGTCTGGTGTGTGTGTGAGTGGTTGGTGGTGGTCGGAGGGGCCGATGGCACATACTGGTTGCCTCGCTTCTGTCAGTGTGCCCCAGGGCAGCTGTGGCTACAGTAGTAGTTTATCACCACCGTGTTTGGAGTGAAAGAATAATAACACATGTGAAGCGTCTTTGAGGGTCAAAAAAACCGATGCATTATTATTATTATTATTATTATTAAATGTAGAACAAAACAGCATTGCACAAACACACCTGAAACGATTGACATGCAACTTTGAGCAAATAAGAAAAAAGAAAACCTATTGGAAAACCTATTGGAAGGTGCTTCTGCATTATGCCCCCTTTAAACATCTGCAGAGTGTCACACCGCCTTGGACACACAAACAACACAGCAACACAACATGACAGCCAAGACAGACACGTCCATTCCCTGATATCGTGATCCATGCTCATAATGTGACAGTAGCAGGCAATACATCTCATAGAAAACATAAGCTAGCGTTTATTCGGACAGAGCTAGCTGAGGTTAGCTGCCACACAGAGCTCAAACTTACACGAAGACGAAATTCCTCTTATTTTCCGTGAGTCCACCAAGTGAGACCAGAACACGGCCAAGACAACTGCGTGGAACTGCATGTCATAAATAAAACAGCGCCGGTTTCCATTCATGACTTTAGATTTGGCTCGGACATTTAAAAGCGGACTGCGGAGACTTCCTGAAACACAGGGTCACGTGACGGAGCTATGGGATGTGATTGGCTGATGGAGAGCACCCGGAAACCGTAGCAGCCAATAGGAAGGACCGCACGCGCACAAACAGTATAAATATTATGAAGCTGCACGCGGGTTCCTCTGTACGGTCCCTGTCCCGTGGAGGCGTCATGTAGTAAGGGAAATGAGCAACTAATGACTTTTAAAGTGATTTTTATAAGTTATTAGTTATTAGTTACTCTGCAATTAGTGATAGGAGTTGGATGGAGTGATGTATTTGTAAATACCGTGCACACATTTTTAAGCCGTGTAAACAACCTGTAGTCTGTAGTACTGCTTCCCATGTGAAACTGTTCTTGTGCATAATAATTATGGCTGTTTATCACAAATAAACAACAAATATAATCATCACACCTACCAGATGAGATTAAAGCACCTTTTATCTAACTTCAGGGATTGCGCAATAACTCTAACACGGTTAAGATAAGATAAGATATACCAATATTCGTCTCACAGTGGAGAAATGTCATCGTTGCGCACATTACAGCCAAGAAATTACTCAGATTGCACACATCAAATTGAGTCTATTGTTTAAGATAAAGAATCAAATAAAATAAACTGTGGGGTTATAATTGCACTTGGTTCAGAAGTATTTACAGATGTGTATATATATTGTACTTTAGCAGCGGAGAATATGTGAATATGAGCAGGATTAGCATCAGAAATAATAATATCATCAGGTAAAGTGACTGGTGAATGGCAGAAATATCCTTCAGTAGAGTTAACACCAGTCTCTACAGCACTAGAAAATCAAAACAGACAAAAATCAGTCCGTGAGATAAGGGATACAAAATCTAATAGTATCAAAAGCACATTATGTAAACGATTTTCTGTTCAGACTTAAAGGGGCACAGTGTAACTTCTACAGTGGGGTCTGCTATCTATTCTTTGTTAGGATGTTGTTGCGCTAAAAATTTGATTGCTAAAATATAACAAAAATATACTGTAGTCTGAAACCGATCAAAGTTAATTTTAGTATAGCACATGGGCTATGCTTTTTTTCAAGTATGTATCTTTGGTGTGAACAGAGTCAATGCACATTCATTGAGTGCCCATTTTTACTGTGAAGCTAATTTTCAGCTAGTCCCTGATTAATTTTATTCATACTTGCAAAGGTTAAGCCTGTACAATAATGCTGCCATTGTATACTCTCTTATTGTTAAGTGTACTGGCTTATACATACACAGATACTTTCCAAAGTGGTCATGCTTAACATATCCAACGACTCCTGAACTTTCATTGATTCCACACGATGCACACAAAAGTAGAAGTATTTGAACTGTTTATAACTGTGTATAATCGGACCTGGTATTGTACTGACGTTTAATTAACACAGACAGATCAATAAAGATAGATAACATCTCACATATTTATTAAAAATAGCAAATCTTTACAAAATATACAATACAAAACAGCCATGTGATAAAACACTTCTAATATAGGTACTTTTTGCTCATTTATCATTGAGCCGTGTGTACAGACCAGCGTTGCAGAGTGACTCTTTGCTCTGGAGATAGGTCAGGTCTCGGATCATGTTTGGGAACGGGTACGAGTCCAGCGGAGGACGCAGGGGGAACACCGGCATGAGTCCAGACGTCACGTAGGGAGACATGAATCCTGCCACACCTGCCCCATTAGCACTGGAGTAAGCGAGCCTGAGGGGGCCCATGCTGAGACGGGGTCCCAAGCCATACAAGCCGCCCCCCCCTGAAGCCGCGGGGGGCATGTGTACTGCGGAGAAGGCCGATTTATTGCCCACAGCAGTGAGAGCTCCGGGCAGTCCCACAGGAGGCCTCGTTGGGCCTGGATCCTGATTGATTTTGTTCTCTTTCGCGTTCAGTATGAGTTCTATCGATTTGGCAATGTCTCCCTTGCAAGTCCGCACTGTTGACTCCAGCGTGTCCCGTTTCTGATGAGGGAAGATCTTGGCCATGATGTCGGTGGGGTCCCGTTCCGCAGTTGGTCTGTCCGATTCGTTCCCTGACTCTTGGTCTGAAGATGACGACCGCTGTGGACTGTCTGAGTGCTCGGAGCGCTGGTCGAAGCGCGGGGGTGGACTGGGGCTGCCGTCGCTGAGTGAGTGGTCTCCGTTTGGTGACAGGTCTTTCTCATGGGGAGATGGGAGTTGAGAGGAGTGAGGGGCAAACAGATGGTGGCCCATGAATCCACTATAAAGGGGGTACTTGTTCATCTTGGCATCTGAAAGGATAGAGTTATGATTAGAATTTGGTTGTTTTGAGTTGTCCAACATCAAATGAAATGAGATTAAATATTCCAGATTAAATACTTTGGATAGTAAATGGTAATTGGGTCATTTCAAAATAAATATATATCAGTGCTTACAGAGCCACTGAAAATATATTAAAGCAAGTTGTGCAAGAACGCATTCATCCATGAGTGAAGGAATCAGGAAATAACAATCTGGACTGAAGCCAAAGTTTAGTTTAGTGTATTTTTTTGGAAACCCTACTATACACATATATATTAGCTTTCAAACAGTAGATATAGTTATAGGAATATCTAGCTTCTAAATCATCTCTCTTTATATTTGGATTTGGAAATTGTAACAATACCAACTGTTTCCCCAGTAAAAGTGGGCAATGGGCATATTTCTATTTTTCAATTGCATCACATAATGAAAAAACCTTAAGAAAACACTCCAACTGATAAAACAGGACTTTCAATTTTAAAAGTTAGTGGCCGCTGTATCACAATTTAGAATGACTGTCTCTCCCATCCACATTACAACACATTGAATCAAATTATCACAACATTTCAAACAACTCACCATCTTTTAGATTTCCAGCGGCAAAAACTTCAAATCCAGGGGGAGTGTGAGCAGCTGGCGCGGTAGTAGACGTGGCCACAGCTGAGCCCTGGGGTACCCCGCCGTCCCCGACCATCCCCGCTCCCGCCGGGTACATCAACCTCAGCTCGCGGGCCTCGTTCTCCTCCTGGGCCTGCTGCCTCCGGAGTGCCACCTGCGCTGCCATCACCCTCTGCCTCTCCGCAATCAGCGTGCATTTGGCGCAAACGCAGTCTCTCCAGCGGCAAAATCGCTTGTGACCTTTGAGGGCCGAGACGACGCCGTGGTTCCTGCAGCGCGCGCACTTCGGAGTTCGCGGATAGCCTCTTTCCAAAGCAGGGTTGCAGGCCCGGAGGTAGAGCGGTGGTCGCAGAAGGGAGTGAGGCATGGAGAGAGAAGCCATGGGTGAGGAGCCATGCGGGGACAGGTTGAGGGGTTGGATCCGGCCGTCCATCGCTCTGAGTGGAAGTCGACTTGAATGGCACTGGCCCCTTGGCGCAGCGCCTTAAATGCAGCTTTGCAGGTGGCTGGGTGTGAAACTCAACACCCCAGTCCCGCCTCTGGTCCTCCTCGCAGAGTAAAGCCCTATCATGTTTATTTGCAGCGAGATGAATGGTGGGTTAATCTGGTGGAAGTGAGCGCAAATGCAGCTGCTGCTTGGGAAAAAAAGTTAAGGTGCGGTTAATCCTGTGAACAAATCTCTCCAAACAAGTCTTCTATACAGGCTCTGAATGGGGTTAACTTAAATGAGCTTCAAACAGGAACAAAATAACAGTCCGGCACATTACAAATCACTTCAGAAATGGATAGATAGAAGTTAGGGCTGCATTAAAGGAATCCAACGGTAACTGGAATTTTAGAAGTTCTGAGAAAAATTTACCAAATATAAGAAAAATAGAAGATTCTCTGGATTTTAGTTTAGTTTGAAGATTTGTTAATGGGACGAACAAGTATATTTTGTCCTGTTGCATCTTTTTTTATAGTTTCCATATAGTAAGTAATTATAGAGTTTATCTTATATATTTTTTATTTCTTTGAGTGTATCTTTTATTTGCACTCACAGAATAATGGTTGTACTATAGGTTAGAACACTGTCTTTTTTTTCTGTAATGTGTGGGAATTTATAGCTACACTTTTATAGCACTTTTTAAAGATCAAGATAATCAAATAAAATCAAGGGTTTTGTAAATTCATTTTAAACAATTTTTTATTTATTTGATATGTATATAAAAAAAAAGCTTTATCTTGGTTTGAGTTCTTCTTGAGTCTAGAATTAACAACAACAGAGTCATTTTTTAAAACACACAAACAAAAACCACTTCTGTAGATTTGTGGAAGATTCTGTCACAATATACTCAATATAAAGAATATGTTTTATTTATTTTCTGTTCATATGTGTATTCCTTTACAAAGAGATTCTTATGTTGCTATTATTTTACTTACTTTGCTTTTTTATAGAAAGTTTTGAGTTGAAATATTCTAAAATAGGAGAGTTATACACTGTTTTGAAACACATTTTCCACAACATTGATCTTCCCAAAACAACATAATTTTTTTTAAGTTATCTATAATTATTTGATCTTTTATGCTGTATTTTTTGTGTAGAAATTAGAGTATTTTGTAATTATTATGAACTAAACAATACATGAGAATGAATTAAAGTAGATTAGCATTTGCCCATACAGCCCACAGCTGCTAGCTTGTATTGTGCCTCTGTTTAGACCGGAAGTAGGCAGAAAAGCAGTGCAGTAACGACGGCGAAGTTTGAAAGGTGTTGCCAAAGGTTTTCTCTAATCTTTTTTACGCTGCTGTAAAATAAACAAGTTGCCTCAGGTTAGTCCCGTCACAATACCCCTTTACAATGGCCATTTTGGTTTCCCCGCTGAGCGCCGCATATTCAGCCAAGAGGATGTTCTTAACACAACAATGGAGCTAATCGTCGCAATGAAGAAACCAGGTAATTATCCGACCTGGTTATTCTGTCGGACAAATTACTCGAACAAAAGCCCCATCTGTCAACAAACACTCAGAGTGATGGATTACTTCTTACACCTTGTCACATGTTTCATTCATTTCTGTGGGTTCTGACGGGATCCGGTTACAAGCAGCAGATTGCCTTACTATTATGGCCATTATTACACAGCGGTGTGAAGTAAGTCACGAAGGGAGGAAAGGCGGCCATATATGGGCGCATGATGGGAAAATGTACGAAAAGCGGATCAATCCATCAGTCTTTTTATCTATAGAGCCCTTTACAGCACTCAAGGCGACCAAAGCGCTTCACAATCAAATTACATAAAATCCATTTAAAACATTTATACATTAAAAACAATAAAACAGATTTAAAAAAAAATAATTAAAAGTCATTTCTAAAATTAATCAATCTTTTTTATGTCGAACTTTGTTGTCAAATCCAGTGTCATGGCAGTTCAAAAACATTAAAAAATAAAATAATAAAAAGCTTCTTTGTACCCATTTGAAAACAAATACCAAAACATTCAGTCATTTTTAGTCTCTTGGTATTTCGTCCCACGGTCCCCTTATCCCCAAACCCATAACTTTAACCAACTTTACTGACTCAATTCCTACAACCTTAACCATAACCATAACCTTAACCTTAACCAAATTGTTACTCTTAAAGGCACATTTTAATTAAAAAAATGGCTACACAATGTGAACATGTGCCTCAGCCCAGGATGAAATACCAAAGATTTTTGTGGGTGCGGCCACATCTTTAGATCAGCTGTTTTCTGTGGCACAAGCCGTCACTCAACTGCTCTCAGTGAGAAAAAGATGTAATGTTTTCTGATTAGATAAAGACATATTTTGACTGATTTGATCACCAAATGTTGCACACAGAACGGAGAGTAAATACAGTCCCTGGAATAGTTTCACATCAGTCAGAGTCAGGTTGGGACAAAACATTGAAGAACATTTTAACTCATTGACTGCTGCCGTTTTGATGATTTCACTGATTTTCAAGACCCACAGAATATTATTTCCTAAAAATATGTGAAAAATGAAACCAGATTCTGAAAGACTGGATTGTCTGCTTCCATCAGCAAAAATAAGTTTGTTTCTAGCTATTTTTGTTTTCCAGTAATCCCCAGTGGAATAGAGGGTCTCAAACAAATATGTCAAGGGCACTCAATGAGTTAATATATTATACAAATACTATTGGTGACTTCCTACATGGCTTCACAATACCATCATTGCACTCAAAATACTGAATTTAACAAATTCAAATAATCTTAAAAATATAGTCATTTTAAATTCAACCAAGACAAACTCGTATCTCCGTGATTTCTTAACTAGTACGAAAATAGCTGCAATGTTAAAGGAGCAATATGTTTAAAAAAATACAAAAAACCAAATGGCCATAAGTGGTACTGCACTCTCCCTCACTCAGGTTGCCAGATATGCAGATGAATCCAGCTGGGACCGTAACAGCTGCCTTTTGACAGATTAGGGCCCTTTAATGACGACGTCACATGAAAATCTTACATTTGCTTAAGTACTACGGATCATATCAACTTTCTAAACACTCAACGTGTCGTGTATCATTATTTGATTATTTCAAATTGTCATATCTTGACAATGGAGACGAGCAGATGGCACCAGAACAAGTCACGGGTCAGAAGTGACTCAATCCACAGTCACGCTGTCTGAATGTTTTATCAGGAGAGTTAAAATACTGGGGAATGTTATAGGCCCGAGTGTGAGTCAATCTCAAATAATTTTAATTTAGTAATTGATTAATCGTTACAAGAAGCTTGGACTTAAACCTGCGGCAAAGAGGTTTAATAACTAACATAATATTCTATAATGACTGCACGATGAAATGAAAATGTTTTGTCATATGACTCTGGATACAACACAATACAATGTATTCTTGTATAGCCCTAAATCACAGCAGCATCATCTCAGAGACTTAACAAAACCATTGAAATCACCACAGATCTGATAATCAACAGTTAAAACACATAAAGAACATAGAACACATGTTGATAAATGTCATACATGTAGAATGTTAAAGTGTCCTGGATCATCACAGTCCTTCTAGTTGGACACTAACTGTCCAACAGACCCTCCTGCATCAGAGGAACAACTCATAAGAAAACCCAGTGGGAAAAAGTGAGAAACCTCAGGGAGACCCATGGTTTGAGAAAGGGATCCGCTCCCACGGACGGACAGGCTGTAGATCCAGGACTCAGACTGTAGAACGAGGACTGAGGCTGTAGATCCAGGACTCAGACTGTAGAACGAGGACTGAGGCTGTAGACCCAGGACTCAGACTGTAGAACGAGGACTGAGGCTGTAGATCCAGGACTCAGACTGTAGAACGAGGACTGAGGTTGTAGATCCAGGACTCAGACTGTAGAACGAGGACTGAGGCTGTAGATCCAGGACTCAGACTGTAGAACGAGGACTGAGGCTGTAGATCCAGGACTCAGACTGTAGAACGAGGACTGAGGCTGTAGATCCAGGACTCAGACTGTAGAACGAGGACTGAGGCTGTAGATCCAGGACTCAGACTGTAGAACGAGGACTGAGGCTGTAGATCCAGGACTCAGACTGTAGAACGAGGACTGAGGCTGTAGATCCAGGACTCAGACTGTAGAACGAGGACTGAGGTTGTAGATCCAGGACTCAGACTGTAGAACGAGGACTGAGGCTGTAGATCCAGGACTCAGACTGTAGAACGAGGACTGAGGCTGTAGATCCAGGACTCAGACTGTAGAACGAGGACTGAGGCTGTAGATCCAGGACTCAGACTGTAGAACGAGGACTGAGGCTGTAGATCCAGGACTCAGACTGTAGAACGAGGACTGAGGCTGTAGATCCAGGACTCAGACTGTAGAACGAGGACTGAGGCTGTAGATCCAGGACTCAGACTGTAGAACGAGGACTGAGGCTGTAGATCCAGGACTCAGACTGTAGAACGAGGACTGAGGCTGTAGATCCAGGACTCAGACTGTAGAACGAGGACTGAGGCTGTAGATCCAGGACTCAGACTGTAGAACGAGGACTGAGGCTGTAGATCCAGGACTCAGACTGTAGAACGAGGACTGAGGCTGTAGATCCAGGACTCAGACTGTAGAACGAGGACTGAGGCTGTAGATCCAGGACTCAGACTGTAGAACGAGGACTGAGGCTGTAGATCCAGGACTCAGACTGTAGAACGAGGACTGAGGCTGTAGATCCAGGACTCAGACTGTAGAACGAGGACTGAGGCTGTAGATCCAGGACTCAGACTGTAGAACGAGGACTGAGGCTGTAGATCCAGGACTCAGACTGTAGAACGAGGACTGAGGCTGTAGATCCAGGACTCAGACTGTAGAACGAGGACTGAGGTTGTAGATCCAGGACTCAGACTGTAGAACGAGGACTGAGGCTGTAGATCCAGGACTCAGACTGTAGAACGAGGACTGAGGCTGTAGATCCAGGACTCAG